GCACACACACACGCACCAATATATACACACAAAGTCACCCACACATGGTGACTGATGGTGGCCGAAAAGTAGAAATGGTGGCAGCCACCATGGTTGGCTGCCATGGTGGTTTTCTCCGACTTCAGCCAGCCAAGACACACACACAAAAGTCAAAATTGCAGCAGTGATACACACGTACGCGAAGCATGAGCACCCGTTGAACACATACACGACTCAGCTTCCTTGTGGCGGCAGGAGGTGATGGATGATGACCGGAGCAACATAAGGGTTGTTTGGTGGTGGCGGCGACAGCTAGCAGCGGCCTGAACGAAAGCGGAGAAGGGAGGACATCGTTTGCGGCAAGGAGGTGGTCGCGTCCGTCGCAGCAGCGACCACGACGTCTGTCGTCGGTCCTCGTCCTCAACAACACCTGAAGCAACAATGGCGACAACCCTTTACTTGGTGGCTTCCGGCTTCGAGTCAGCGGTGCAACGACGGTATCCGGCGATGATGTGGTTGACAGCGCGACTAGGGATGAAGGGTGATAAGGTGGCAGCTGGGAATGATGTGATTAGGGTTAGGGTTTACATGATACTTATATATGAAGGCTAAAAATGAGGATGACGGGTTTATGCCCGTCAATTTTAAAACTTAGTTCATAATTACACTTCCATCCCCTCCCTCCAAATTCTTTTCAACTTAAATCCATTATTTACTAAATAACCCCCATATTTAATAATTCATTACAATTCAAGTCCTATAAGTTACCATTTAACTCTCAACATTCCAAAATCCTTTCAATTTAAGTCCAATAATTACCAAACACCCCCTGACTTCTGAAAATCTTTACAAAATAAATCTTGGAAATACACTTTAACCCCCGAAAATCCAAATCATGTCATTTGGCTCCTCGAAACCAACACCTCGCTAAATATTATGGATTTTTAGGGCTACTATAAAATATAAATTTACATCTTGGGGTTCAGGGTTTATTATTTAATTACTTAATTTTAAACGGAATGTTATACCAAAAATCCATCCATTGTCCAAAAATTCATGCATGGGGAAATAAGAGTAACCAAGCTCTCATTTTTAAGTCTTAACAACTCCAAAATCGACTGGAAATGATACCTAAAGGCCAAGAGTAGCTTATACTCAAAATGATACCTAAAGGCCAAGAGTAGCTTATACTCAAAAGAACCAAGGTTATGGGGACAAAACATGAGAATTCTTAAGCATGAACTAGATCTATCATAAAACTCATAAATTTGGAGACTTTATACCTCCTGGAGATGGAACAAACATTTACAATTGCCTCTCTTTTTTGGAATGATGATGAAATGGAATTATGACCCTTTCCTTTAAATATGAGTACTGATTAAGTATGTTTATGTGATGTAATATTTACAAACACTGCTAAGGTTTCTAAAAAGATTGAGATGATTGTGTGCTTAAAATTATCCACTTCTTAGGTACTTACATTAAGTGTTTTTTATATTCTTTATTTTATAAAAGTCAACTTACGTTCTTCAATTCTTTTTATCTTTTAATCTGCAGCGACAAATATACGAAACCTTTTTGAATGGTGAGATTGTTCTTTCAGCCTTTGATGGTTCCCTTTTAGCTGCTCTCACGATATTATAGTTTCTTTATCAAAAGGGAATTTTTGTCTTTTGCACATACGAGAGATCAAGAATGCTTTTTTTTTGTCCCATTAACTTCAGCTTTAGTTATTGGTTTGTTTTATGGATGAGCAAAAGGACCGAACCGGACCCGACCCGGGAACCGGCTTCGGCCAAAATCGAGAACCGAACCCGCCCGGCGGTTCTACCGGTTCTTGTCGTGTCTTCAAATGTTGGAACCGGTCCTCGAAAAATAGCATCATACGGTTCCGGTTTTTGCCGGTTCTACCGGTTTTTGCCGGTTCTACCGGTTCCGGTTATATCGGTTCCGGTTCCTACCGGTTCCCGGTTCCAAAAATCCACAAAAAATAACGTCCCGGCCCCGGCCCGACCTGTAACGCCCCGTTCTAAGAGTAATTATTCATGGATCCCCGAGATCAAGAGTAAGGGCGTTTCGGTCTTTTATGGGCAATGGGTTTTATTCGAGAAGGTTTCGGGTCGGGGTGTGTTGCTAGAAGCGTAGGGCTTCTCGCCACCTTTTCGTGGATATAAAGTTCGTCGGAAACGGGCTTAGAATAAAGGAGTTATGACACTTTGAAGATAGTGTCAATAATGGTCCCTAAAGGAAATATTTGGCAAAGGGGTCCTAGGCATGCATGGAGTGTATGCGTGTAATTGGCTGGGTACGCCCAACGTAAGCTAGGTTACGCCCAGCGTAAGCTAGGTTACGCCCAGCGTAAAGCGGTTAAATGAACGCGGGTGTTGGGGGCGTACGCCCAGCGTACAGGATGTACGCTCATCGTACGTCCAGTGTCCAGAAACCCTAATTTTAGGGCCAGCCACTATATAAGGAACATTATGGTTCCAACCCTAGCCCCCATATCTGCCCTCTTACTCTCTGAAACCCTAAATAGCCGTTTTCTTCCATGATTGTGGATATTTGACCTTGGGGAGCTTGGTTTGGCAAAGGAGAGCCTAGGAGAAGAAAGAAGAAGTTGTCAAGGAAGGAGTTGGGTGGCTGGAGCTCGTAGATCTGGGAAGGCATCATCTTCTGGAACCCTTTTGAGGTATAAAGTCTCTTGCTTAACATCTATTTTGTGTAGATCTAGGTGTTATGAGGTTTTGACACCATTTCTTGTCCCAAAAACCCCAAAGTGATGCATGATGCGAGTTGGTTGAGATTAGCTGTCCTTTCAGACCTTAGGAGAGGTCTTGAGTGAGAAAAATGAGGTCCCAAAGGCTTTGATTGTCTCATGTGTGATGTAGGTGGGTCTTAATGGATTAAGACCTTGAGTTAAGAGCTTTATGGACGTCCCAAGTAATAAAGTTTGAGACTTTATGAATCCTAGGCATGTTTGGTCGATGGATCTGAAGTTTGGGCTTAAGAGCTTAAGCCATTAAGAACTTATGTGGAATTTTAGTTCAGCGAGATTACGCCCCGCGTAAGCTGATGTACGCCCAACGTAGTGGGTCAGTGTCCCGTTCCCAGTCCGCGAGAATCGAAGTACGCCCAACGTACCAAGAGGGGTACGCCCAGCGTACTCCCTCTGTTGGGTTTTTTATTTTGGGCCTTAAGTGATCGGGTTGTTTATGGGCTAGTGGGGCTTGGGCCGTGACTGAACATTATGGATGGAGTAATTTAGACCCAATAATTATTATGGACCTTGGATCTAGGCCCATTTGATGAGGTGGGCCCAATTTAGTAAATTGGGCCAATATTGGGCTTTGCATGAGGATTTGGTTTTGGGTCTTGGCCCAATAAGAGGATAATGGACTTAATGAGTGTTGTGGGCCCTTGGCCTAGAAAGTCATGTTGGATTCTAACTTGGTGATTATCATGTGATAGTTGGGAGTCCCGGTGAATCAGCGGTCAGAGATTTGCAGAATTTCGGCAGTTGCAAGGTGAGTTATCCTCACTATATATACAGGGTCTACGGCACCAAGGCCGGCCCTTTATCGGATGGAAATCCGGGTATTGTTTGTTATGTTATTGTTTAAATTATTTTGAAAACGAGTTGTATGAACGTAATGGTTTTTGAATGATTTAAAATGTTTTAATTTGGCTCAAATTTTATGGGTGTTACACGACCGGTTCCATCGGGTTCCGGTTCCGGTGCTGGTTCCGGTTCCGGCCGGTTCCCCGGTCCATATGCTCATCCCTAGTTTGTTTTGCTCATGTATTTGATTTTGTATTTGTCCAATCCCGAACATGCTTCTACTTTATTTATCAATGACATTACTAAACTTATCGTTACATATGTATAAAAAAGAGATAGATAACAAATGATAAATAGTAAAGTCTTCCAAACCCCGCAATGCGGGGACCTTCACTAGTTTATAGTAAATATGGACAACTATTAACTGTCTTCGCCGTCTGCCGAAAAAAAAAATCGCCTACAAGAATTTATTCATCGAAAAGAAACTATTAATCGTCCCTGTATTTACCGATCACGGGCACGGGTACCCCACTAGTGTGTGTGTATATATATATATATATATATATATATATATATATATATATATATATAATTTATTTAATGTTGTCATCCTTTTAAATACGACATCTTAGAAAACATGTTTATGACAGACACACATTCATAGTACCAACAAAGAATAAGATATATATATATATATATATATATATATATATATATATATATATATATATATCTATATATATATATTAAAGCGGGAAAAATGACTTATATGGGTAACTATGTTTCAAAAATCTTTCAAAAACTATCATTCAAGTTTGGTGTGTCCAAAAAACACCATCCAAATAAAGCATTTGTACAAAAAACACCAACGAAGTACATTCTTTGTTCAAATTTGACATTGTGGTAACCGACAATTACCGGTAAAAAATAAGTAAAGAAAAAAAACAAGAGGAAATGACTCAAATGGGTGACTATGTTTCAAAATTGTTCAAAAAACATCATCCAAGTTTGGTATGTTCAAAAAACACCATCCAAGTAAATTTTTTGTACAAAAAACACCAACAAACTATATGTTTTGTTCAAATATTATCTATCGGTAACCGGCTCTTACAAGTTAAATGATGATTTGGCTTAACTATTATGACATGGCATAGTAATTATTGACAAAACAATAAATGATATATTCCTCCTTTAAAAATCGATTTTGGGCTTCTTCATGAACGAATGATTTCTTCTTCTCCTATGATTGCGCTTCTTCTTCTAAAGTGATGATCTCGAACTCAAGTCCAAAACCCTAATTCTTGACTTAAGGCAAAAAGGGCCCCTTTACGCCTGCCTCAATGGGCCTCCCTCCCCCTAAGGCCCAAATCCATAAAAGCCTAAAAAGGCATCCAAACCTAACTACAAGGCCTCTAAGGCCCAATATGGCCCAAGAACCCCCAACATGGCCTTAAGCCCAAAAATGACCTGCTACACTCAGGTGGGCCCGAGGCCTAACTTAAACAAGTCCATACATACGTCCAACATATGATGAAGCCTTTGCGATCCGACTGTCGAGCCAGTATGCCCGACGTACTCCTAGTGTACGACCAACGTACTCGGCTAGGGTCAAGAACCGCCAATCTTTCGAAGACCATAACTTCTTCATTCTAAGTCCGATTTTGTCATTCTTTATATCCACGGGAAGGAAACGAGAAGCTCTACACTTCTATCAACTCTCTCTTTCCTTAAAACTTTTCTAACATAAACCCAAACTTCATAAAGGCTCGAACTGATACTTACTGATATGCCCTTGGGCTCCAACACAAACCGAGCACTCGGTCCCCACAACCTACATTATCCATCACCAAATGGGCGTTACAGATACCACGACTTGTTACGAACGAATATAAATTCGTATACATCGTACACAAGTATCAGAACCATATCCCAGGAAACATGCAAAAGAAATGGTACGAAACAATAAAATAACAAGGAAAAGACAAGAGATGTGCCTGTCTGTAGACCGGATAATAAATAAAGGACCGGTCAAGACTATAAACTCTTATAAAGAAGGAATATATCATTTATTGTTTTGTCAATACTTATTATGCTATGTCATAATAGTTAAGTCAAGTCATCATTTAACTTGTAAGAGCCGGTTACCGGTGGGTAATATTTGAACAAAACATATAGTTTGTTGGTGTTTTTTGTACAAAAAGTTTACTTGGATTGTGTTTTTTGAACATACCAAACTTGGATGGTATTTTTTGAACGATTTTGAAACATAGTTACCCCTTTGAGTCATTTCCTCTTGTTTTTTTTTCTTTACTTATTTTTAACCGGTAATTGTCGGTTACCACAAGGTCAAATTTGAACAAAAAATGTACTTCGTTGGTGTTTTTTGTACAAATGTTTTACTTGGATGGTGTTTTTTGGACACACCAAACTTGAATGGTATTTTTTAAACGATTTTGAAACATGATTACCCATATAAGTCATTTTTCCATATTAAAGCTCATGGGATGTTTGAACAGTATACTTTTCCTTGCTTAAACTTTGGCCAACAAACTTTACATACTTTCAATTTTGGCCACAGTAAATTTGCATGTGCTTCACCGACTTCTTTTGGCTCACGACGATTAGATTTTTCTCCATTTATCTGATACACGGCCGATTGTTCCTTCCACCGCCTCTTCCACCCAATCAGATGTTGCACCGCCATGGACATCATTCATTATCTTTCTTCCTTTATTAAATCTATTCTCATTCTGAAGCTCCCTTTCTTGGATATCAGTCGATAACCGTTCTCTCTTTTCTTTTTGGCTCCGCTGCTTCACCTCCGATTAGATCAACGCCAGATAACCTCCTTCTGTACGCCAATATCTATTACTCATCTATTTTTCCCTAAATTGAACATTATCTCTCAGTTAAACCACCGGTCAACCTTATTGATCGGATATGTTCTCACATACACCACCACCGCTGAACATCTCCCTTTAGCTATCACTACCACTTTGCATCCTCTCCGTGCTTGGACCCCTCGCCTACGTCAATCACCACAGCTATAAGAAGTGTATCAAGAGCACAACTATTGCGGGTATGTGGGTCTCTCCAATTCAGAACGTCTGTAAGCTAATCAAAACAATTTGATTATTTGTTTTGGTGGATTTTGAAATTGTTGTGCTTTGTAAGTGGGATATACTGCTCCTATTGAAGTCGTTCTCAGGAGTCAACCAAAATTTACCGTCTCCTTCCTCCTCTGTTACCTCCCGTACCAGATCTCCCTTGCCTTATTTGATCACTGTCGAAGCGTACCTGCAATCATTGGCTCATTGTGGGAGCCCCCTACATCTGCTGACTCCTTCACTTCCCGCAACTACATCGTATCAACTGGTGAAGAAGGAGAAGAAATGTATGAACCTTTCTTTGTTCTTTCTGCTAATGTTCTTAGGGCTTCACCCTTTTTTCCATTTCAGTTATCGCTCTTTCTTTCATCTTCTCCACTCTCTGCCTCACTCTCTCTCTCTCTCTCTCTCTCTCTCTCTCTCTCTCTCTCTCTCTCATATCTGCTGATATTTATTCCAAAAGTAGGGTATGTTGATCAGTTATTAACTTTATTTTCTCATACCTGTTGATTTTGTTTACTAATTGAGACATTTTCTAATGATTTTGTTTTCATGTAGGATTAGTGGTGAAGAAGGAAAAGGAATTTCTGAATCCTTCTCTGTTCTAGCTGCTATTGTTCTTAGGGTTGATTGAATATTCGTTAACATGTTTATGTTATTGTGGTTATTTTATGTTTCTATTTCTCCTTTGTAGTGTTGTATTCTCTTCATTGTACATCGAAATCTATCTTAATTTTACAACCTTCAGTACGAAACATTAATCAGAGATACAAAATTCAACAATAATATTGGAGATTTAAATGTCGGGCACAAAGATTTCATGGTTCAACAAAGGTGAACCTTTTTTATCAGTTCTTTTATGAAAATAGAAAGTAAATATCATTTGGTATCTATCTCTGGTGAATCTATGAAACATACTTCATTTTTACTTTCAATTTTGATTTCAGAGCTATTGAGATTTGAAGATTGGTGTTAAATGTTGTTAACATAAGAAGAAAGCCATTACCAAGGCATAAGTCATTTGGGCTGTCAAAAAAGTTGCTTCCTGGTCTTACGAAAGATAGATTTCTACAATGGCGTGTAAGGTATAGTATATACAACCGTCGATTTTTTTAAGATTTGTTAATACACATGAAAGGAGTAATGTGTATGTTGACTTCCTAGCCGTTTCAAAAAAAAATATGTTGATTGCCTATGTCGATGAAATCATATCATCTGTCCTTCAACTGGTCTGATTATTTTACTTTACCTGAATGGGGTCAATGGGTGGTCAAGGTAAGTAGTAAAAGTTAGTTATTTTGATAAATTACTTTTAAATATAATCTTTACCCTGATGTTAGCCTTTTTTGTGAAAGGTAATGGCTATGTTTCTTGGGATTTTTTTGTTAATAATAGCATATGGTTTGTATAAAATTGTTTTTTTATGTTACAATGATGCAAGCCAAAAACCCGAAGTCTATAACCATCTTACATCATTATACTTTCGCTTTGCACATAAAAGCATTGTAATTTGAGTTGGATTTCAAGTGATTCCAGGTTATAAGTCATTTTCATTGTCACTTAATGGGTTAAGATGCCATTTAACTCATAATAACCAAAGCTGGAAAATATTGTACATTTGACCATTTTGCCCGTCTTAGAAAATTTCTAGAAAAATCATCAAGAGTCGGAATTAGGATCCGCAAACTCTCAAAGCTTAGAAATTGAGTCTACTTTGTCCCTAATTTTTGCCCTGACCTGATATTGATCCTAACTATGTCGGAATTGGTTGTTTTTCTAGACTGGTCGAAAATGAGCTGCAATGATATGCAGTTTCACAAAAATCATAATATATTGCAGAAAAAACGTATGGACCCATGTAAGTAGTTCCTGAACAGGTATTGACCTGAACTTCATAACCATGGTTTCGTTTTCTGTTTTGGATGGGTTTAAAGAGGGCATTCATCAACAATTTTCTAATTTTGGAAAAGCTGAATACCCCCATAATGAGATATTCATCAACAATTTTCAAGAAATGGTTGTTGTGAGTGGTTGTATTGGGTTTGTCCAAAATACCCCTGCAATTTTATGATACATTCATCAGCTACTTTATTGATTTTATTTTTATGTTTATTTTTGTGTTTCCGCAGATGAACATGATGGAGTTCTTATTAAAGTGAAGTTCAGGTATTAACCCTTGATTTGAAAATCAAATAACTTTGTAAAGGAACAACAAATAAAGATAAATACTTATACTCTTCAATCCATCTTATAGTTTTCACAATATTAGAACTTGACTATTTACGTTTTATTCTGATTTCACAATTTCAGGCAAATAGGACAGCTTCAGGTGCCAACTGCTCACCATCAGTCTAGAAGGGTATAACCAAATGTTGGAAGCCAATACCTGTTATCTGTTGCTCTATAACCGGTTTTCCTTGAATCAACTTTGTACTTACGAATAATATACATTATTATACCAATGTCATCTAAATAAAAACTGTTATAATACGAAAAGGCAAAGCTAAAGTTGAGGATAAACAAAAAAAAAAAAAAACCCGCCTTTTCCTAGTTACAATCAATTCGAAAGGCAAAGCCTCAAAACCACATGCCCTTTCTAGACATAGTTAGTCCTTCATATGGACCCTATTATGTTAGATCTTGTCAGGTAGAGTCACTCCCGTCTAGGGGTGTGATAAAAAACTGAAACAAAATAACCAAACCGAACCAAATGATGTTTAGTTTATCTGATTCAGATTATTTGGTTATTTGGTTAACCGAATAAGAATATTTTATTTTATTTGGTTTGGTTTTGGTTAAATTATTATTATTTTGGTTAAACTGAAAAAATCTAATAAGATATTTAATTAATATATATTTTATAATTTATATCTATAAATTAATATTTTATATTTAAAATGATAGATTAGTTACTAAAAAATTCTTTCATAACTCATTATTTAATTATTAACCATTATAAAATTATAATTGTTTATATACTGTATTAAAAAAATAACAACTAATTAGTTAAATGTCAATCAACTTTCAATCATTTCTCTCATCTTTATATACAACTAAATTTATATTAATCTGTCTCTATGACTATATCACCTCTTCAAGGCAACACATCATGAAATAATGAATGTAATATGTTATGTATTAGTGTATTTTTTTCAATTTGTAAAAGTTTAGTAAGTTTTTTTTTTTCTTTTAGTTTAATATTTATTTTTACTTGCAAAATATTTTCGATTTAACCGATAAACCGACCGAATTAACCAAAACCGATTGGGTAAATTACACGGATGGTCCCTGTGGTTTAGGGTAATCTGCATGCTTGGTCCCTGAAGATTTTTTTTTAACTCGGACCATCCCTACTTTATATTTTTGTTGCATCCGTCCGTTTTAAAAAGACTGATTTACCCTTACTGATTTATTTTTTCTTTTTTAAATTATCAATTAACTAAAAAATATTAATTAAATTTTTCCTGGAAAAAGTATTAATTAAATGTATAATGGTTTGATTCAAGGACCCACACTCCACCCTCCTCTCCTCCCCTCCCCTGCCTCCTTTTAGTCGCCGGAAAATGTGCCTCCTTTTGTTTAGTCGCCGAAAAATGCAGACTCTACCAGAAAATGTTGGACTCCATCGGAAAACACTAGATTCCACCACTCTCATCTTTACCCCACCCCAACCCACCATTCACGTTCTGACCAATTCCCTTTCCATTGTTACCATCTCCGGTGAAATCTCCGGCTACCATCGTCTAATATCCACCATCTAAAAACGATTTCAGTTGCTAATCATCAAAGCATCGTCAATGAACAAAAACCCAAATAAATGAACATTCATACCTGAAATCAAAATCTGAAATCGTTTACAAAAAACGAATCCTCTTCCACAGTTTTAATCCTCGATCACAACGGTGGATGAAACCAAAGCTTGTAATAATCTTCAACCGAGTTATTGCTTCCTAATCGAATCCAAACCAGTTGCAAAAACGCCTCTTAACTTTTCACATCAAAATTGATTTCTTCCTTTAGAAACGAATCAATCAGATGTAAAAAAAAAAGCCCTCATTTTTTTCGTTCTGATTTCTTGTTCCACCATCACCAAATCAAGAACTTTTCACCTTCAAAATCCTATAGATTTTCACCTTGATTAAGAATGAAGATGGATTTGAGAAACTTCAGGTACATAGAAACCCAAAAGGAAGACAGATTCAATAAAATTGGCTTGTGAAAAAAACCAAAATCCCCAAATCAAGTTTTCACATTCTTTATGTTCGTCAGGTTTTGGGTCATCGGAAATATCCATGACACCTACTTGACAGGAGAGAACGATGAATGTGATGTTGAGTTTCCATGGAAGCTTACATCTTCATCAAATAATCCATCTTCACATGTGAAAGACGGATGGACTTATATCTGGTGCTAGATGTTTGTCGGCGACAAAGAAAGGAAAGAGATGGAGGGTAGTTGCCGACTGTGGCATTTTCCGACAAGTAAAGCAAGGAAGAGAGAAATGATGGTGAAGAAAGGGTTGTCGATGAGTGGAGGGTTCTTTCACTCAACCATGGATGAACGAAGAACACCATCTCCAACCCATCTCTATTTTCCCCCCATGGAGTAAAAAATGGAGTAAACAATGTTTCATCTCCGACCCTACTTCATTTTCTATCCCATTTTTTACCCCAAAAAGTATATTCCTAGAATATTCCATTTTTATAGCTTATATATATTGTCAAATGCACCCCTCTACTAATTAAACTCTATATTTATGATTAATTAACATAAATTAGTATATAACATGATATTATAAATATTAAATATTACATTTAAATTATAATTAGTAGAGAAAATAAACTAGAAATGTATAAAATAAACATGAGAATGACTAAAATTAGCAACCAAACTTCACCTCCATTTTTGAAGATATGAATAGTATTCACCCATATATAGGGGAATACTATTCATATCTCCAAAAATGGAGATGAAAATGGGATAGGATTGGAGAAAAATGAGGAAAAAAATGAGGTAAAATGAAGTTTGGAGGTGGGTTGGAGATGCCCTAAAAGCTTCATAAAGTACATATTACATAGGTTAAGGGTGGGTTGGTGGGACCCACCTTTTATTAAACAATTTCTTTAATAAATAAAATTATCAATAAACATTAATTTAATTAAAAAAAGAAATATACAAGGGCAATACAGTCTTTTTAAGCGTGTCAGTGACCAAACGTGCAACAAAAACATATAATAGGGACGGTCCGAGTTAAAAAAAAGTATTTAGGGACCAAGCATGTAGATTACCCTAAATCACAGGGACCATCCGTGTAATTTACCCAAACCGATTAAACCGAGTCTTATTTGGTTTGGTTATGGTTACTTTTAAGATGTAAAAAAACTGAAAAAACCGAATCGATTAAACCGAAAAACCGACCAAATAACACCCCTACTCCCGCCTATTAATATTTGGAGTTGATTCATACACAACAAATTTTCTCTATACATAACAATTTGTACTTTAAAATGTTGTATTATACAATTTTATAAAACATAAATTGTTGTGTAAGAAGAAAAATTAATGTGTATGGATCACTTTTCTTAATTTTAAAAGATTAAGTGATGATGTGGCATTTAAATAGCCTTCAATTGACATGGAATACAATCATACATATCCAACAAAACGTCCAATGGAATAGATATACGTACACATGTAACTTTTGTTCAACTAAAAATATAAATAATTAATATTTATAGTTTATTTAAGGAAAACTAATTATTATTAGAAAATGTGTAGAACTATCTTCACAAAAGTAATATCATTAAATAAATATAATAGAAATGATGTATAAAAACATGTAGTGATGTACGTAGAAGGCTAATGAAATTATCCAAATTCAAGAGTAAATCGAATATTCGATTATTCCAATATATTTATATGCCTATGGGGACTGGACTTAATTAGCTCAGCAAACACTATGCCTTGAGCTCGATATGTCGAGAACAACCCAACTTGGCAGACGATTGTAGAGTCTCTCTCTCTCTCTCTCTCTCTCTCTCTCTCTCTCTCTCTCTCTCTCTCTATAACATTCCGTTTAAAATAGAGTAATTAAATAATAAACCCGGATCCCCGAGAAGTAATTTTTATTATTATTTTATATTATTGTAGCCAAAATCAAATAATAATCAGCGGGGTGTTGGTTTCGGGGAGCCAAATGATAAGATTCGAATCTTCGGGGGGGGGGGGGGTGTTAAAGTGTAATTTCGGGACTTATTTTGTAAAGATTTTCAGAAGTCAGGGGGTATTTGGTATCATTTGGACTTAACATGAAAGCATTTATGGAACCAGGGGTTAAAGAGTAAATTTTGGACCTAAGTTGAAAAGGTTTTGTAGAGGAGGGGCCATTTGGTAACATTCGGACTTAAATTGAAAGAACAGAGAGAAGGAGGGGCCATTTCTGTCATTATGGGATAAAGTCTTATGGGGCGGGGTATATATTCGTCAACCCCTCCGTAACCCTAACCCTAGCACCAACCGCCACCTTATACCTCCCTTAACCTCCAGCCGCCACTCCCATTGCTACTATGTCCGGCTGTCGCCTCCTAGCCAACCGGTGTCGCTGATCGAAGCCAACCGTCGGTGCAGCCACCGACAACGACAAAGAGCCTCATGTGACGTCGGATCAGTGGATCGCCGGACCGTATAGCGCCGTTGTTGTCATCGCGGTCAACCTTTCTCCTTCTCATTTTTCTGTCACCATCCGTAGCCGCCCATGACATCGTCGGTGCTGTTCCAGCTGCCCTCGTCGTCGACTCCATTCCACAGCAGCTAGTTACCGCCGCTGCGCCGAAACCATTGAAGATGTAGCCGTTATCGTCTACCTCCTGTCGTAGTGTCGCTGTTGCTGCCGTTATTGGACTGTTCCGACGAGATGGTGGCAATGTTCGTGGTTTGTGATGCGGATGCGCGTGTGTATGGACTTTCTGTCAAGTAGAAGTCATGAAGAACCACCATGGCAGCTGGCCATGGTGGTTGCCGCCGAAGACGCTGTTGTTACCGCCGTTAGCCGTGGATGTCGCCGCCATTCGTGTTGTTGTCGTCGCCGAAAGCCACCAGGTGGGTGGGTGGGTTTATTTCGCAAACAGAAGCATATGTGTGTGGTTACTTGGCCAGAAATCACAAGAGAGCCACCACCACCACCACCGTGAGGTGGTGGCTAGCACCTCCGACCACCGCCTGTCGCCACAAGGGCGGCTGTGTGTGTGTGTGTGTGTGTTTTATTATGTGTGTTTATTTTGGATCTTTGTTGTATAGATGTATCATTGTATCGTGGCCGGAATAATCAAAGAAAACAACCCGTCACCACCGTGAGGTGGTGGTTGCCACCTCACGCCGCCACCAGCCGCCACCTTGGGTGGCTGTGTGCTTTTGTGTGTGTGATTGTTATTTTGGGATGCTTGGATATTTTTTTTAGCCAAAATCATAACCACCACCACGAGGTGGTGGCCGCCGCCGTTGACCACCACTACCCGAGGTGGTAGTGGGTGGTGCCCGACTTATTTAACCCTAATTGACCTAATGAAGCCCTAATTGACCTAAAAACATAACCATTTGACTAATGGGCACGCGATTGGGTTGGAAACCCTAATTAGGGTTTAGAAAACCCTAATTTTGTATATGCTAATTTGGAATTGTTGGGACCCGCAAGTTTGGACCATTGGATTAGAATCATGAATTAATCACGACTATGTTGTATGTTTGACCTAGTAGAGTGATGGACTTAATGGGTTAAGTAAGAGCACTAACCCTAATCATCATTTTATGTGAAAACCCTAATTTTGCTTGAGCCTTGAGTTGGGCCTTTCCATTGGGCTTTGGTGATTGGGCTATCCAAGAACAAGTAAATGGACTAAAATATTTGGATGGGCTTTAGGGTAAGGCCCATGTGAGGGACTTGGGCCCAATTTGGAAAATTGGCCCATAATTGGGCCTTGATGATTATGAGATATTTGACCATTGGAATGCCAAGTGTTTGGACCAGAATAGATGGTTGGGCCTTAAGGTAAGGCCCATGTGAAGGGTTTGGGCCCAATTTGGAAAATTGGGCCATATGGTGGGCTTTGGTCCATTGGTTGACTTTTGGGCCTTTGGAGTGTGAGCTTGGGCATTGGGCTTGAATCAAGCTAGGTTGGGGGTAAAGTAGTCTTTTACCCGAAGCATGGACTTATGGTTATATATTGGAACTCAATTATTAATTGGGTATTGTTTTTGATGTTGACAGTTCGGGAATCTGTCATCCAGCAACTAGGGTTTTGTCTGCGGGACTTCAGCAGTGTGAGGTGAGTTCTTCTCACTATATCAACAGGGTCTAAGGCACTAAGGCCGACCCTTTATGATTTGTATCCTGGTTATAGGATGGTTGCTGTGTTAGTAATATGTTAGATCGGTATCCTGGTTATAGGATTATGCTATGATAGTGATCTGTTAGATCAGTATCCTGATTATAGGATGATTGCTATGTTAGTGTTCGGTTAGATCAGTATCCTGGTTATAGGATGGTCGTCATGTTAGTGATCTGTTAGATCTGTATGACTATCTGTACATGCTAGCTAGCGTATGATATTTATGTGCACATGTTTGTTTGATTGGGGGTTGGGTTGAGGCGGACATGCTTTGTGCTTAGGCCAACATACCCAGGGCGGACCGGATAGACTGCAGACCCGCGAGGGCATACTAGTCAGACCGAAGGCCTGGCGAGCGATCCGGATAGGCTGAAGGCCCACGAGGCGGTCCAGACGTGTCGATGGCTCGGAGAACGGTCTAGATAGACTGATGGCCTGCGAGGTGGTCCAGTCAGGCTGATGGCTCATTATGCATGCTGTTGTTTATATGATATGGTTATATCTGTATAACGTTGGTATCTTGGGGGGTACTCACTAAGCTTCGGAATTACAGTTGTTGATTTTGTTTCAGGTACCTCTGATGATCGCGGGAAGGCGAAGGCATGATCGTGCACCTCCTTATATTTTTATGATTTGATTCTGGCATACTCTGACACTAAATCATTTTGAAAACAAGTTTTGTAATAATTATTGGTTTTGAAATGTTTTAAAAAGTTTAAACTTGACATGATTTTTATGGATGTTACATCTTCTCCCCCACACAACACCCCATTCCATCTCTTCTTCCCATCTTTGATTGTAGAGTCTCTCTTCTCTTCTCCCCTATGCAGCATCCTATTCCGTCTCTTCTTCCCAACTCTGCAAACCGGAGTCCTATCCTTGTTGGAGTCGAAGTGAAGCTCCAACACCCTCTTCCCCAGCCAGGTCATCCATAAAATACTTTTAAAAGTATGAATATCAAGGAAAAATCAATAAGTAAATTCAATTTTCAAGACGTACAATTGTAATTAGTTTATTAGTTGATTTAAGTTATTTTTGACACACCACAACTAACTTATACGTACTTATTTGTAGAACATTTTTGGTTGATATGTTTGGCAAATTAAAGAGTAGCTTATAAGCTAACTTTTTAAAAAGTTGCTTAAACTAGTGTTTCAACGATCTTATTAAGCTTATTTTTAATCCTACCCTTTATTGATTATAAAAAAAATTAAAAAAATTTTGAAAAAAAAAACTCAATATTCTACATTTTTTTTTATCTGATAGCATTTGCAAATAGCTTTTTAGTTATCAACTAATAGCTAATTTTTCCGTCAAACATAACCATACACCATCTTATAAGTAGTATGGAAAATATTTATGATTTCAAAATAAAAAGAAAAGAACATAATTGACCAACTGTTTCAGTCTTAATATGCAACGATTGGTCCAATAAACGGTTTGAAGAAGCACATAAATTCCAAAGTAAATCAAAACAGCCGAACATTTGTGGGTACAAATACAAAATTTATCAAATATGGAGGACTTTATGTTAGGAATCTTAGAGTTTGTGGTGGAGATCTGGATACCGACTTGGATCGTGATATCACTTTCCGAAGTGATATTTCTACCCTATGTCTGGGTTACAAGAAATTCAGCATAGGATAATCCAAGTGGACATTTATGTTTCTAGGCACAGAAAACGTAAGCCAATATGCTAAAGGGTTCTGTGAATGTGTGATGAAAACCGAGAGCTCAAGAACGTAACCCCCTTCTGGAAAGGAAGAGTTGTTTATATATTAAACACGATTAGGGTTTCATTAGGGTTGGGCCGTCATTAGTTGCTTTGGAAGCAAGTAATATTAATCCGGATTAGGGTTACCAAAACTAACGAGTTTCGTTAATTTTACTATAATCACCCTCAAGAAATTGAGTTTTCCATTATGTTCCCACATGCAAAAATTCGGTGAGGTTTTGGGGCGCTGCCCCTAGACCCCGCTAAAGGGGCGCTGCCCCTTTGGAAACCCCGGACCCGGGGGTGCTGCCCCCGGACCCCGGACTAGTCGTCGAACCGGCTTCTGACTCGATCTTATACATGCGTGCACTCCGCACAACCCCCGTACATATATTAGAGTACAAATCATGAAGCCCCTTAGCTCACATGTTAGTTCCAGTTACTTAAAATGACATGGTGACACTAAAATCACCAACACTTTATACATCCGTACATAGTTCCGCATTTCTAATTAAGACAAGAATCACATGACTTTTTTTTTTTTTACCATTTTGACCGACGACTTTGAAGGGGTGATTTTTGGGTCCAATAGTCTCGTTTAAAAGCTTGTCTTGGTCTTTTTTTTTTTTAATCCAAACACACATGATGACTACATTATGTACACTAATTACTAATTTTGGGTCACGTAATTAAGTTTCATCTCCTCTCCTATAGAGTATAGAGTATAGATAAAGTTGTTTATACTTTATAGGGTGGTGGGAGTGTAAATACGATGGATCTAATTAACCCCCACCCACATATATACAAATTAGTAGCCACTCACTCAAATGTCTTATGTCTAGCTGCCAATGCCATTTGGTGTTTTGGCTTCATCCTGTGAATCAAGAACCAACCAATAATTAATAAAGTCACCCTAGAAAGCTTGTCCCGCTTAACAAACACAACCACAACCACACGGATATTGTGTTGTAGTATGAAAGTTATAATGTGATTTGGGAAGTGTACTTCATTTTCCAACCAAAATCCATCAAGGCCAAATTTGGTTTACCTGAATTTCCAGGAGTAAGCCTTCAAGTTGAAGTCGGATTTGAGAGAAGGAAAGGCGATTACGGGGATCAAAGTCCCAACATCTCTGCATCAACTCCTTCAGCTGTGGGTGTGTATCTGTCGGAACATCTGGTCGAAGGCCCTGCAATATTTATATTTATATTGCATTCTCATATTGTTTCTTTCTTTCTTTATGCATATATGATATATTCTGCTATCCAAATGCTAATCAAATGGAAATGCTGACCTGTCTTACTCCCAAAGCTGCTTGCAATGGTGTCATCTTCTCATAAGGAACCTACATCCTCATATTCAGTTCATTCTTAACTCTATATCTATAATAATAAGTAAAATTGTGTATTTATTTATTTATTACCTTGCCTGTCACAAGCTCCCATAAAACAATCGCAAAACTGAAAACATCCACCTTTTCATCATATTGTTGATGATTTATAACCTGCAAACCACGACAATACATAAGTAGCTCCATTCACCATGCTAAATTTAGAGTTTAGTTAGGGTTTATCAGTGAAAAATCAAATATATTTAAACATCATACGTAAGGAGGAAGAAAGAGAAACCTCAGGAGCCATCCATCTGTATGTTCCAGTCTCTGCTGTCATAACTCCCCCTTGACTTAGAAACCGGGCAACCCCAAAATCTGCCACCTTCACAACCTAAAACAAAATGTTAAATTAATTAAAAACAGAAACAAGCTAATAAGTCAAAGTGTAATAATGCCTTTCTAGTTTTTACATCTTGAGTGTCCATGAGCAAATTTGCAGTCTTGAGATCCCTATGAATTATGTTGCTGCTGTGCAAGTACTCCATTCCTTTGCAGACATCTATAGCAAACTTCACTATCTCTGAAACCTTCAACATCTTATGGTTTTTATGTAAGTACTCATAAAGGCTCCCTCCAGGCATGTATTCTGCATATATAATAAAAAATTACCAAAAATGTTTTAAATTTTATCAAACAATCAAAATATATAATACAGTTAATGGAAGTTTTCTACCTGTTATTATGCACAAAGGAGGTTTCTTCATGCATGCACCAATAAAATGAACAACATTGGCATGCTGAACCTCCCTTCAAACACACACACACACACATAATGCTTTGTTTATTAGTTGTTGAATTAATAAGGTTTTAATTTACAGGTTTTTAAAGTAAAGTTACCTGAGCATGGCTACTTCATGAGCGAATTCATTCCCCAATGTTTCATCATTTAAATGTTCAGATCTAAGAATCTTGACAGCAACATGCTCACCAAGGTACTCTCCATGGAATCTTTCAACAAACAAAATAACTTATATTAAGATACTTGTAAGAATTAGGAATGCAATTGGAAAAAACAGTGTACACGTACAAATCTCCACAAGATCCAGATGCAATCTTTTCTCCAATCTTCAATGATGCTCTGTCTATTTCTGCATCGCCAAAATGGGCTTCAGTGGCTAAAGCTTTCTGTACAGCTGATATAGAATCTGAAGAAGAACCAGACCATGAACCCTACAAGGTAATCCAGTTTGTGCATATGTTTTTGTCTTAAAATAAGACCCTAATACCCTTAAAAAAACACCATGTGATGAAAATCATAGTAAATGGAAAAAGTTTACACCTCGCTTCTAGAAATTGCTTTCTCCATGGCTTCGTGTAAAGCAATTGATTCCTGACCACAAGGTTGCAGAATCAGAAACATTGGAATATATGAGTATTTTGATGTTAGAAAAGAAGAGGAAGAAGAAGGAGAACCTGAAAAGGCCATCCATCTACCACAAATACATCCAAAGAATAGCCATCGATTGTTGAAAACACATGTGCTTCACGGATGTTGAGCTCTATGTCGGAAAGCAAAGCTGAAAGCTAGGAGAGAGGAAAATAGGTTAGGATTGTGCTTCAAGAAAAGGATCACAAATGTTTAATACCAGGTTAAATATCAAACTAAATTACTGCAAACTGTTAAGTGTTGACATTTTGACAATGGCACAAACACCACTATCTGATGACAGCTGGACCTTTTCATTTAGTAGCGTATTAATGGAATGGACACAGTAATGAAATAGGCAAGGTAATGGAATGTGTTATTACATTCCAAGAAAGAAAGATTCCAGGATACCTGACTGAGGAGCTTAGGCTTGTCGATAGCAGAAAATATGACTTCATGAATTGGCATATCTGGAACATCCACTCTGCAAACATTCATGTCATGAGTCATGAGTCATGACATGCTAATTTATTCCCCTCATATCAACAAACATCTAGGAATCTTATCTAACAACAACAAAAACAAAAGAAAGCATAACACAAATGTTGACAGATAGGATTAAAGCAGTGTAATCATATATGCTAGTTAGTTAGACAGATAAGTTACTTTTTTCCAAATTTAACATGAAGAACATCTAACATGCCCTTTATTATAAAGAAACAGCCCCATAGTCATACATGAGTGCATGACACTATACTGAAATTAAGGGAGAATTGTGTGAAGACTTGTTGAAATTAAAGGAAAAATGAGATATAAAACTTTTCTATCTCATTTTTCCTTTAATTTCAACAAGACCTCACACAATTCTTCCTAAATTTCAGTATAGCGTCATGCTCTCATGTATGACTAAGGGGCTGTTTCTTTTTGACATAATGGGCTTAATGGGTTAAGCACTTTATCTGGACAACCTATACGTGGCTATATCTTTTTTTACTTAATCTGGACATAATGACTTAATGGGTTAAGCCAAAAACGTGGCTTAATGTATCAAGACACTAACCTTTACCTATTTTCTCTTCTTTTTTCTTCCCAACTCCTCTCACATAAAAAATGATGAAATTTGTTTTTTTTTTTTTTTTGGAATGTAAGGGTAAAATGGTCATTTAGTTTCGTTGAGACGGTTTATTCAGCCTATAAAAAAACAGCCTTATGTCTACGACACTTTATCCAGAGAGACATAATTACTCATTCAGCCGCTTTACCCTCACAGGACCTAATAGGGGAAAAAAGAGACAACCCACAAGAGAATTGTCAACATTCCAACAATTTTAGTGATCAGTTACAACTGAATCATGCCTTTATCTAAACCTACTACACGAAGACTTGTATAGATTCCCATGTGGCGTTACAAATGGGAAAATAGTTTTAGGGTTGATAAATATAAATAAGAGCAAAAGAGACTAAAATTACAACCTTCTGGAAGACTCTCCTAGGTTCTCCCCCTCCTCCTTATCAGCAGAATTTCTTCCGACCTCCAAATTTAGGTCCTCAAGTTGAGAGCAAGGTTCAAAACCCACCTCTTGATCCCTGTCACTGTGGAGAATAAGTGAAATATGTAACAAATAAAGATAGCAGCCCACCTATGAAATGACAATATAGGGCTCCACATTTGAAACTTGAAAGAGAGGAAGGAATTGCAGAAACACATAAATATTAATTCTGTCTTTGCTAATATACCTAGCATCTGTTGGTGTTGATTCTTGTTGCTCACAGTCATCAACATCTGCTCTAGTCCAAAAGTTCTGCAATCCACAATTTTAGAAATTGTAACAGTTAAGAAATATTATAGTGCACACGCACACAAGATTCAGGCAACAGCACATAAAATAAACAAAAGGCAGATTTCAGCAAGGATATCTTTTAATTTGGTTGTGATGAAGATCCATGAAGCATACACTTGGATACCAATTTGCAGTCAAATTAGCTAATAGCTAAGTACACATCTTTCTAAAAATGGAAATAAAGATAATATTTTATGGTCAATAAACTTGATTTGCAGGTTTATCCAATTCAGTACATGTAATAGGTAATAGCAGATGGGAGAGCACTGAGTGCGAATTGTTCAGATTTCAATTGGGATTAGGTTGCATCATTGCATATTTTTGTCCATCCAAAACTACAACATGACCTAGCTTTTGAAAGTCTTCACATACTTTTTCTAACAAAACTTTGAGATCGAAGACCACGACCTTTCAAGAAAGTCTTATACTACATGTTCTCCAGCAGTGACTCCAGAAGCTTTCGTATTCTAACAGATGGATCATTAAATCACTAGAGAATATGAATCCATTGCATCAACATTCAAGAGCACTTGCTGGAGCATGTTAAACATGTTTATTTTTTTATTTTTGATATGACAGATGAGGGGTATCAAGTTTTTCTAACACTCGAGAGTGAAGTTAATAATGTGTAGCTCGAATCTTCAAACTAAAACCATTACCTCTAAAAGACGAACATGAAACGACAGGTCGATTTACAGGATCCTTTGCCAATACAAGAAGCTTTTGATGTAGCAGCACATCTTCAACTCTATCCAAGTTGATATCCAGTGCATAACTGATGCATTAAGAGTGTCAGAAATAACATTTTTAAAGCATGATGGAAGATGAGAACTAGCAAAAATAAACGTCTCGAAATTGATAACAAATTTATAACAAACTTATATCCCCGTGTGCACATATACCTCGCAGGAAACCGGTTGAAGTGAGCTTCCAACTGATCCCGAAATTCAGGATGATTAATAGCCTCTTCGTTGCCAATCTCCACTAACCGATTATACACATCATTCACTATTTCATTACCGCTAAAACTTCCAAAACTCCGAGGCGGCGAAGAACTCTCACCGACTCCTTCAACCAAATCCATCACTATCTCTGTTCTGTTCTGTACGTATACCTATATGTATATATGTTGTATTGTATATGTGTGTATATATATATACCTGTTTCAATGTATAATTGTTTACTACATATCTACAAGCAATATCAAGTTCCGAGAGAGAAATGGTCCGGCAACATCGTCGCCGGAGAAAGCAGAGGTTGACCGGGGATCTTTGAAGGAATCTAGAAGAGAGGGGGTAAGCTTGTAAATTTGGAGTAGTGAGGGTGTAGAAAGACCTGTTTTGAAAATACTTTTGGAAAAATGGCAGGCTTTTTGAGAGCGAGAGAAAGAGAAAGGGCCCTGCTGAATGTTGTCGTCACTGTGTGTTTATGGTGTGTATGTGTGAGAGAGAAAGAGTTGAAAATGGCGTGGGTAGGAGTGTCTCGCGTTTTTATTTTCAGAAAAGGGAATGCATTATTCATGGCAATCTTATTATATTTTATAGAAAAAGACTTTTACAATTGACCATCAAAATTTCAGGAATGTTACTATCTAGTAATTTAAATTTAAATTGCGGTAATCTAAGTTTTTAAATTGTCAAAAAAGAAAATCATTTTCTTCTTAGATCATGGGGTGTACTTATAACACCATAATACAAAAAAATTTGTCAACTTAGCACAAGGTCACAACACTATTTCACAACTATTTATTCTGAAAAATACTTACCACTCCATCACTCAAAACATTCCAAATTTTTAATATAAAAATAATGTGTATAAAAGAGAGACGTTGCGGGCTTAACAAACATTCATTACACATCATCATAACATACGAGGAATGTAGTGTTCACATGTTATAGCATATGTCACATAGGCATAACACGTCATACCTTAGAGGCATATCTCATGGTTTATGACCTCCTACAAGTTTACCAATTTTTGTAACGACTTTTGACATAATTGATATCCACGTTATCAAAAATAAACATAAAAGACATTTTAAAACAAAAATCAAAGGTTTGTAGAGCCTAATGTCATTATTCCCAAAATATTTCTGATTAATATGATGCGTGTTTCAAAAACGATGAGGAGTGTTATCATATATTTTGATAAATAAGGATAATAGATCATTTTATAAAAATCTATTAAAGTATTAACTATTAAAGAATATATTTAATTAGTAGAAAATTGTTGTAACAAAAATTCTAAATCATAATATAAATCGTGTGGATCAATTAAATAGTTGCAAATTGTTTGGTTTTTACTGACGTGCACGCACTATAAGTCTATAATTGACTACTTCAATTTTTGAATCACAGATTGTACGAATCTCCAACAACATTGGGCAATTATGCTTCATTTTTCAAGGACAAACATGTAAATAATATATAAATTTTATAGTATTTTCTTATTGTAGTTTTGTTTGATAGTGACCAAAAAAATTGATGCTTTAAGTTATAATCAAATGCATTTGATAATTATTTTTTTATTAACATTATAATAAATTACATGAATCATCCTTATAGTTCGGTCTAATATCTCTAACTTTTTTCCACTCCGATTATCAATATGATATTTTTATCACGTTTGTTTGTCATTGTTATACCTTATTTTAGGTTTAGTTTGGGGATTTCAAGTTTATTTCAGGTTCGATTTGGGAATCTCATATGACTGATTGTGATTTTAATTTTTGTTTTTGGTTTTGGTTTAATTAGGTTTGATTTTGATTTCTATATTGATTTATGTTTCTTTCATGTTTTGTTTTTTATTTTGGTTTCATTAGTTTTAGTTGTTTAGTTTTGATTTTAGCTTTGGTTTGATTATAGGTTTGTATTGATTTTGATTTTAGCTTGTCTTTGGTTACAGGTTAAATATTGATTTTTCATGGTGGTTGTCGGGGATGACTTATGGTGGTTGTCAGAGACGAACATGATGGACTGTCGTCTCATCTAATAATATGAAGTGGAGAAAAGTGGGTGGAAGTGATAAGAAGATGAACCCTAACAAAAAAAATCATACAATTAAAAGTACAAACTAATAATCATAAATTATATTATAGTGTTTTTACATCTGTCACAAAAGAAAATCATAATAAAAAAGATAGCACAATGATGGTCGAAGTGGGAAACAAAATATAGGGACGGACACCTGTCACACCCCCAAACCGGAACGGCGGAAACGTTCGGGGGTGGTTGACGTCATGCGTAGTATCACAACAGTTGTATCATAGCAAACATAGTAAACACAACCAAACATTGAATACATATATGAAAAAGGTTTACATTGTTTTAATACAAGGTTTTATTCATAACAAAAGTAAAATTGAAAGACGTGACTCTAACGCGCCGACTTCTCCAAAAGCCTGGAAGTACCTGTCTACTAATCCCCTCAGAATACAAGCAGTTTTGAAAGAATATCAGCATAAAGCTGGTGAGTTCATAAGCGTTTAGTTTTTTGTGGAAAATGTTCTTTGATCCTTTTGAAAAGTGTTCCTCAAGAAAATCCTATATTTTCTTAATAAAAGCCTGTTTGAAAACCCATTCCTTCCATGACTTTCAGATTCGTACCAAGATACGTACAATCCAAGGTGTCGTGGAATGAATATGAATATCCGTTGATTACATGATAACCGAATCCGTTTTGAATAGCCGGTTTATCCCGGGAAAATCCTATATTTTCCCTAAAGGTTGATGGTTGATTATTCGTTTTAAACTGAGGTATGCAAGTATCTACCATACTCGTATTAATAAAACCAGTTTTCTTTTAAAAACCATGGTTACACCCAGAGAGGTAAATTAGCCTTAAAAACTAAATAAAAGAAAACTGTGATGAACTAAATCCCGAAGATATTATTATTAATACCCTCCAGTAATTAAATCGGTTATTACTTTGAGGTTAGTTCACTTGATTCATTATTACAAAAGTAAATCCCTACTATCTACGTTGCGAGGGTCGTGACCATACATTAACTTGATATGGCATGTACTGGAGCCAATATCCTTTATGACTTTGTCACCCGTAGACCTGCCGGTCCCACTGTAGCTAGCAGCGAGGTGCGGGATAGTCAGTCACGTATAGATCTATACACAACAATCACGCTCTCCCTACAAGAGATTCTGGTTATAAGTGCTAGTCCTACACTCTGTTTCGGTGGTGAGTGTTACCAAGGACGTGTCTCCAACTAGACTAACAAATTTACAAGTAATAATATGGAAAATCCTTTATAAAATGATACATTTTACGACATGATTCACAAGTTCGTTACCCTAGTTTTGAAAACTGTTTCTACGAGTTGATTTCTTAATCATTTGGTAAAAACTGTTTTCCATGTTAAAAACATACTAGAAATATAATTATCTTAAACAAAATAATATATTTTGAGCACAAGTTTCCTTGTACTTTTGCTTGTATTCTCCCCCTGAAAACATAAAAACTCAGAAAAGCGTAGGCGTATGAACTCACCTGACGTGGGTGATTCAACGTATATGCGCGTAAGGATGAGAAGTTCCACGAATGAAGTCCCGAGACTTAACGAGTCCTAGACATATAATGGCATATATTGACATAAATATAGTGTCTAGAAGCAACCAAATGCAAGGAACACCTCGCGGGACTAGGGAAACACTTTAACCAAGTGTTGAAATCACATGTGATTGAACTAAGGGGAGTGCACGACCACCTATGGAGTTTACGGCCATGAGTTTACGGCCAAGGGAGTTTACGGCCGTAAACTCATGGTCAATCATGCCAAGGTGTGTGTTTTAAGATCCTACAACATCCATTAAAGGTTCAAGGTTTAAGGCTTGGACTTTAAGAAGGGTTTGTGGCTAAAAATGGCACACTTATAGTTGTTTACGGCCATGGAGTTTACGGTCGCAAACTCATGGTAAAAGGTGCATGAAAAAGTGTTTCAAGGTCTTACAAAGCACAAGGGGGTGTTCTAGCCTCAATTCCAAGCCTTAGGAAGAGTTTAAGGCTCAAATGCACCACTAACTAGGGTTTACGGCCAAGGGAGATTGCTTGGCCGTAAACTCCTCTTGTTCATGCATTCTTGATGATTTCAAGGTTCAAATCAGGTGTTTCAACTAGATAACAAGCTAAGGAGGGAGTACTTACGATTTGAAGGCAAATGAGGGTGTTCTTGATGAAATCCATGGATGAAATCAATGGTGATTCATGGATAAGAGAAGTATTAACTCATAGATGGAAGGAATCACTTACATTTTGAGGGTTTTGAAGCAAAATCCTATGATACTTGAGAGAGTTTTCGAGTTCTTAGCCTTGGAAATGGTAAAAGTGAAGAAGAATGGCCCAAGCCTCATACTTATAGGCTAGAGTTTACGGCCACCATGAGTTTACGGCTATAAACTCATGTGTCCTGGCCGTAAACTCCTCATTGAGGGGTTTATGGCTTGTTTGATGGTTTTGAACTTCAGTTGACCCAATCTAACACTTGATCCTTTGATATCCTAGGCTTAGAATGCCCAAACAGACTCTAAACAGTGCTACAAGTTAGCTGAAACAAGCCTGACTTTGACTGAATTGAATGGTTGAACAAGATAGGAAATTCGGGTTGTTACATCATCCCCCCGTTAGAGAGAATTTCGTCCCGAAATTCAAGAATAGAGTACAATCATGAACTTGGAAAGAGATGGGGGTACTTCTGCTTCATTGAATCTTCGCGCTCCCAAGTGAATTCAGGTCCCCGCTTGGCATTTCAGCGAACCTTCACTATCGGGATGCGACTTTGTTTTGTTCGTTCGACTTCCCGATCCATGATTTCTACGGGTTCTTCCACGAAGTGTAAGCTCTCGTCTAGTTCGATCTCATCGAGTGGAGTCACAAGTGTCTCATCGGACAGAAACTTGTTTAGGTTCGACAAGTGGAAGACGGAATGAACGCTGCTAAGCGCTGAAGTTTGTACGCTACGGGACCTTTCCTAGCAAGGATCTCGGACGGTCCGACGTATTCTTGGATTTAGCTTTCTATGCTTTCCGAAGCGTATCAGGCTTTTTCCAGGGTGAGACTTTTAAAAGGACAGGGTCATCAACTTGGAATTCCAAGGGTTTTTGTCTCTTATCGGCGTAGCCCTTTCGTACGATCCCTTTCAGTCGCCTCTCGGATGGTTTCAGGACTCGTGAGAGTACTGTCGTGGACTTGACTCTTGACTAGTTGCACCCACTTCAGCCCAACACAGAGGGGATCTATACTTACGGCCATAGAGGGCTTCGAACGACGCAACCTTGATGTTGTAAAGGTCTCCGTTTGTTGCGAGAAAGTTCAACTAAGGGTAGTTGAGTGTCCCATGACGTATTTCCAATTGTCCGGATAACCCTCTTACTCTGTCCATGTCTTTGTGGGTGGTACTCTTCGTATGAATACTTTCGGGTTTTTCGAAGAGTGATGAATTTTCGAAGTTCGCATCTAATTTGTCGTTACGAGTGACGGGAGTTTTGCGATCGAACGATTTAAGACAAAAGGGC